AATCTCCTGTGTAGTACTACAAAGTGCTACAAAGTGTTATTAACATACTACAAAGTATTATTATTTTTTATTATTACTACCCAAGATAACATTCTGTACCCATCTGGCACTCCAATTATTTTGGATGTTGTTTCTGTGATAACTCCACAATTTATTACAGTCTGAACAAGCTATGCATACAAACAACTAAAAGACAATGCTACCTCTGCTACTTGCTAGATGTTTAACCTTGGATAAAAAACTCTAGCTCTCTAGCTCTCTGGGACTCAGTTTTTACATCTGTGAAGTGAGAGGCTTGGACCATCACAACACAATCCTTATTTATTAATTAACTTATGTATTAGCAGCTTTATTGAACTATAATTTACATACCATAAAATTCACCCTTTTTTGTGAAACAGGGTGTCACTCTGTTGCCTAGGCTGGAGTGAAGAGGCACTATCAGAGCTCATTGCAGCCTCAACCTCCCAGATTTAAGCCATCCCCCACCTCAGCCTCTTGAGTAGCTGAGACCACAGGTGCAAGCCACCACACTCAGCTAATTTTTTTTTAAATTTTTTGTACAGATGGGGGTTTCACTATGTCACCCAGGCTGGTCTCAAACTCCTGGGCTCAAGAGATCCTCCCACCTGGGGTTCCCAAAATGTTGGGATTACAGGCTTGAGCCAACCGGGCCCAGTCAAATTCACTCTTTTAAGTATACAATTCAAATAGTTTTAGTAAATTTGGAGTTACACAACCATCATCACAGTGTAATTTTAGAACATTTCCATCATTCCGAAAAGAAACTTCATCCCCATTCCTCATTTAGATAATCTTTTAAAAGATCCTTTCTAACTTTTCCATTTCTAGACTTATAAAGCTTTAGTAGCTCTTTGGCTATTTACAAGTTCAAATTCCTCAGTGTAACATTCAAGGTCCTTTACAATCTATAAAACCTTCACTGTCTTTTTTTTTACCCATACAAATGTAGAAATTACTTTTTTGTGTTAAAACATTCCTTAATGAGCTAGCAATTATTTATGTGAAGGAGAGTCCAGAAAACAGATTTTTGACTAAATTATCCTTGTCCTTGATTAAAGAGATTCATGAATTAAACACATAACGCTATTCTCTAGAGTAGTTACTGAGGTCTAAGAGGCTGTAAACTTGGAAGAGCTTCTCCCTGCCTGTCAGGCTGCTCCCATTAGATCACAAGACAGAATGGACATATTTCTCAGTCTCTTTCATTTTTGGACCTTATGCTTGGCATCTCATCACCTTACTTGATTAAGAGATCCCGGAGGGCAGTTGCCATATCTATATCCAATTATGTATCCTTAACTCCCAATGTGGGATTCTGCATACAATATTTAATAATGATAATAGTAACTGGTAGCTAAATTAAGCATCTACCATGTGCCAGACACTGTTCCAAGCACTTTACAGATACTAATTTATTTAATTCTTATAACAACCCTGTGAGATAGGTACTATTTTTAACACTGTCTTATAGATGAAGAAACTGAGGCAAGAGAGATTACATATTTGCCAAAATCACAAAGCTAGTTAAGTAGCAGAGTTGAGATTTTATTTCAGACAGTCTGGCTCCAAAGTACGCACTCTTAAACCACAGCAAATTGTCAAACCAGTTGAAGCTCAATAAATGTTAATTGCATAAAGCCTTATTATTAAGGTTCCATCCCAGGAAAGAAAAGTAATTAAGAATTCTGGGTGCCAACTGACACAGATGTAATGAGGGTAGGGAAAAATACATAGAACAAACTCTGATTCAGACAAGAGAGTCACCAAACTTTAGGGTAGGTCTGAGATGCTCCAAAAATAGTTGTTGAACCCTAAACTGTATCTTAGAAAGATAGATCTGTTCTCATACATAGGTGGTGGGAATGTAAAATTGGTAGTGTCTAGCTGAACATGTGCATGTTCTATGACCCAGATATTCCTCTCCTATGGCATATACCAACAAAAATATATATTTAAATCTGTCAAAATGTACTACTGGTAATAGGCAGAACTGGAAATTCCCCATCAACAGAAGAATGGATAAATCGCATGTGGCATGTTAACAAAACATAATATAGCAATGAGAATGACTTATAACTTCAAAAAATAATATGGATAAATCTTTCAAACAATGTTGAGCAAAAGAAGTCAAACACAAAAGAGACTGTATTAATCCATTTATATTAAGTACAACAAAAAGGTAAAATGAACGCATCCTGTTACAGGTCAGTATAGTGGTTTACCCTTGGGAGGGGTATTGACTGGAAGGGGGCATGAAGCAGACTCCTGGTAATGTTCTTTTGGGGGGGGGGGGTGGTTGTTGTTGTTCTTTTTAATCTCAGTAGTGGTTGCACAGGTGCGTCGAGTATATAAGTTTATAGCACAATGAATACTTCCAATCTATACACTTTTCTTTACGTGTACTGTACTTCAATAAATTCTTTATAGTCTTTCTGAGTAGAGAAAAAGACTCAAGCAAGAGCCAAAAATAAAAGTCACTTTTGTACTTGACATGCACAACTAATGACTGACAAACTCAAAGTTATCCCTTTGACCTGAGATGGACAAGGCAGATGTTTCTCTCTTTTGTGGAAACAGTGAGTTAACAAAAGGGAGGCCATTTTAATCCCGAGCCATTAATGCAACCCTAATCCTTTCTAAAAACTGAGGAAAAAACAGATTCACAGCAGCATACCACCTGTGGGCACTCACAGCCCTGCCAGGCAACAAAACAAATACTAATTCTGTTTAAAGAATCAAGTCTTCATTTGGAGTTTTTATTTATATTTCAAGACTAATGACACTATCCATGCAGTACAAATGGATTCTGACCGTGATGCAAATTTAAGTTTTCTTGAGCACAAACCCTATCCCAGCGCCAGTCTGAGCACACCTATCTTTATTTATTAGGCAAGCATTCCACATCTATGGATCTCAGTTTCCTTATCTGTAACATGGGAATAATAATAGTATCTCCTAATAGGTTAATGTAAGGATTGAAGGCATATTTCATGTAAAATATCTAACACAGGGCCTGCCACATAGTTAAATATTCAATATGTATTAGTTGCTATTATAATTTTCATATGGGCCCATTAATGGTTTCTTCTCCCTTCCAATTTTCATACAGCAAGCCCAGTTTATAGTTTCAATCCTTAACAGGGGAATTTTAATATTTTAACACTCAAGGACAAGGGCAGTTCTGCCTCCCCATCTCCCCCAGTTGTCAAAAGAGAGAAAAAAGGAGTATTCAAGTGAGCTGATTTTGAACTAGAGCTTAGGTAGGTTGGGAGAAAAGGGAGTCTGGACAACAGAAGTTTCTTTCTTTTAATGGTACCACCTTCTTATACCATGTCAGAGCACCTCGTACAAATGACATGATCTGGAAACAAAGGGACACAGAAAAAGGCAAGGCTGGCTGTTACACGGGATGTGGTTATCCTCCACAGAGAAAGGCCCTGAAGAGGAGGGAGTCAGAAAAAGAGGTTGAAGGTTGGAGTTTGTGCTTTGCCCATCAGGCAGCATCAAGGTCTTATGCTAAAAAGTGGGCAAAACATTACTAGTTACAAAAACTCTTTCACACACATCCTCTTATTTAATCCCACACCCATCTTGTGAAGTGAGTCAGGCAAATTTCATTACCCTCATTTGGTAGGTGTATCAGTCCGTTTTCAAGCTGCTGATAAAGACATACCTGAGACTGGGCAATTTATTGCAGGTTTATTGGACTTAACAGTTCCACATGGCTGGGGGAAGCCTCACAATTATGGCAGAAGGCAAGGAGGAGCAAGTCACATCTTACGTGGATGGCAGCAGGCAAAGAGAGAGCCTGTGCAGAGAAACTCCCGTTTTTAAAACCATCAGATCTCATGAGACCCATTCACTATCACAAGAACAGCGCGTGAAAGCCCTGCCCCCATGATTCAACCATCTCCCACCGGGTCCCTCTCACAACACGTGAGAGTTATGGAAGCTACAAGATGAGATTTGGGTAGGGACGCAGAGAAAATCCCTATCAAAGCTAAGGCTCAGAGAGGTTAAATTTGTCCAAAGTCATTAGCTAGTAGTTGGTGGGGGTGCAGTGGGCAGCACTTTAATTCAAGTCTTCTGGCTTCAAAATCCATGTTCTTTCCATTAAAAACACGCTGGATTTTTTACCAGGACTTTAATTAGCCTGGGCCACGTGTGTTACGATCAACAGGAAAAAATAACGACAGACCAGTTGTGAACTTTTTACTGTTCCCCAGCCCCAAAGAGGAGAAGGAAGGGAAGTGGATTTGAAACAGAAAGGGGCTGGCGTTGGGAAAGGAGGGAGTAGGATCTGGAAACATGAGAGGAAAAAGTAGCCGAAGCAACTTTAACTCGGGGCTGGCTAAAAACAGGCGACAACTGGCTAGATAAACCTCTTGGGTTTCTCCTACCGGCTGAGCAGGGTCAGATCCACTCTGCCCCAGTCCCCTTCCTTTTCTATTGCCCAGCTTTGGCCGAAGAGATGCTGTAGCCCCACAAACCCTCACAGGCATGCCGCGGAGCTGGGGCGAGAGTGGGGGTCTGGGCAGCCCCTGGGGAAGGTTAGTGGCTGGAGGAGCCAAGAGGATGGTGAAGAAACGCTGGATAAAGGAAGTAACTCTGCAGGAGGCAGTGCCATGTGGGGTATTCGCGAATGGCGGTTACAAGTGCGGCTAGTATAAAAAGCTGTGATAAGGGTGGGTGTGAGGTCAAGGCTAGGGAGGAGCTGGAGTCAGAGGGCCAGAACAGGTGTGCACCGGGCGCGGGGGCGCAGACCACCTCTTTCCCGGCCGCCGACGCCCGCAAGCGGATCCTGAGGAGGGGTGTTTGGTTGAAAAGGGGTGTGGACCCAGAAAGAGAACCCAGGACCCCGCACGGGAAAGACGCGTCAAAAACGGCTGAGAAGGCTGAGGAGGTGTGTCTGGGCTCCCAGGTGAGCACCAAGAGGAAGCTCGCAGCTGTCAGCCTCGCTTAACTCTTCTCCTTACCTTGGGTACCGTAATATGATCCATGACCGCAGTTCCCGCCACCGGAAGATCTCAGTGCTACTCCGGATGCCGCCGCCACCGCTCTAGCCACCCCCTGGCCCAACCCGGGTTTCTACCCCGCCCTCCCGGTCGTATCTCAAACTCTCGTCATCTGATCCTCGGAGGCAGCTCCTATCGCGACACTTTGACCGCAGCCGTTTCCGCCATCTTGCTTCCTGGCAAGTGCCCTTTTCTTCGGGGAATTGATTATTCTGGTTCAGGTTCAACGTTTGGCCCAGTCTTTAAGTCCCAGATTCGAGTACTGCCACCCTTCTCACACTCCTTCATGCTATAAGGGCTCTGAACACAGATGTCAGTCCTTTACTCTAATATTACAATGATAGCATCCTGCAGTGGTAACACAGGCTGCCCCATGCTGGCAATTGGGTTTCTGAAGAGCTTCCTAGATGTGAGACCTTGGGCAAGTCACCAGAGAATATTTTTTGAAATATGGAAACGTATATCCTCCTCTGTGTCTCTCCTTTATGTGTCTGCTGCCATCAACCTAGTTAAAATCTGAAATACTACAGTAACCTCATCACTTTTGCCATCATAGATATGGGAAGAGGACCAAGGAAGGGCCCACTGGACCAGTTATCAGATGAGGGGTAAATAGGTGCAGACCCTCAGTGGTGTGCTCCAAGTCAGACTTGTGATGGGAAAAAGAACAATCTGAGAGTTGGGAAATCTGAGTTCTACTCCTCTCAGGTCTGCCACTAACTTGCTATGTGACCTTGGGGAAATCACGCCACCTCTCTGAGTCTTAAGTTAACCAAGGTTACAGTGAGGGTATTGTCCACTATCTCAGGGTAATTTCTAGCTCTACTATTGCAGTGTTATGGTTTGCAGTCTCACTGCCCCTACAAAATAATTTTGTTCTTCTTTGAGTTCTTACAACATTTGCTAGCAAAACTATCCGTTTATCATATTCTGTCTTTTTCTCTAGCCTGAAGGCCCTTCCCTCGATCCATGACACTATTCTCCCTTGTACCATCGTTCCATCATTTTCAGCCCTTTCACTGCCAAATATCTCAAAAGAATAGTCTACTTATCATCACCTTCACTTCTCCATAACAACTCACTCCTCCCTACCACTCCACTCAATTGGCTCTTTCACATCATCCTCAATTCCAGCTGCTGATTCCAAACAGCTCTTCTCAGTGCTAATTTTCTGTTTGTCTTACAGCATTTAAAACTATTGATTCATATTCCTTTTTGACATTCTTTCTTCTCTTGACCTCTATTATAAAGCAAACTCACTGCCTGCATCCCCAGCTGTTCCTTCTCTGACTCCTTCCCAGCTCCTTTCTCCTTTTTTAAAGCCATTTTCCTGGCTTCTATCCTCATTCCTCTTCTGTTTTCTTTCTTTTAGTTATCGTGATCTCTTCCACAAGTTAAACCCTTACTCCCGGATATGGCCTGGATCTGTGTCCCCACCAAATCTCATGGCTAATTGGAATCCCTAATGTTGGAAGTGGGACTTGGTGAGAGGTGATTGGATCATGGGGGTGGTTTGTTCTGAACGGTTTAACACCAGCCTCTTTGGTATTGTCATTGCCATAGTGAGTGAGTTCTCACGAGATCTTATGGCTTAGAAGTGTGTGGCACCGTCCCCTGCCCACTTTCCTCCTGCTCTGGCCATGTGAAGTGCCTCACTCCCCATTTGCCTTCCACCATGACTGGAAGTTTCCTGAGGCCTCCCCAGAACCAGAAGCTACTATGCTTCCTGTACAGCCTGCAGAACCATGAGCCAATTAAACCTCTTTTCTTTATAAATTACCCAGTGTCAGGTATTTATTTATAGCAGTGTGAAAAGGGGCTAATGCACCCTCAGTAGGGGATTCCCAACTTCATATCTCAAGTACCATGACCTTTTTCGTGAGTTCAAATTTAGAACTTCCAATTGCCCTCTGACAGTTCTACTTGCGTGTTCCTGCTAGCACATTAAAGGCATCCTGGCCCAAAACAAACTCATCTTTCACACTCTCTCACAACCCCCTTGCATTTTCCTACCTCTACCACTTGCTCTTTCTCAATTTTTTCCTATCCCTACTAATTGCACCACCATATACCCTGTTACTCAGACTCAAAACCTTATTTCGATGCTGTTTAGGATAGTGGAAAGGGTGTGTGGACTCTAGTCAGACCAGGTTCAAATTTTGGCTTAGCAATATGCTAATAATACATGGCCCTGGGCAAATTACACAAACTCTCTGTGCCTTAGTTTTCTCATCTATAAACCGATTCTCATAAATTTCTTGTGGGAACTCAAAATGTAATGTATGTGAGGTTCCGGGAACATTGTAAAGACACAATGAATATTGATAGGTTCCTTCCTTTCCTCAACTTTATCATCAAATATCTCTGTTTTCTCTCTCAAATGCTTACCTTGCTTCCTAGTTTGCTGATAAAATAGAAACTATAAGAAGGGAGCTTCCACATCATCCCACAACCAAATTTGCTTGATGCCTTGCATGTGAGCTCATATAATCTGTCTTCAATTAACGAACTCTTCCTGAGCATCCCTAAGGCAACCCCTCCACTTGTCCACTCAATTTCATTCTCTTTATCCTGCTCAATTGTTTCCTTGCCTTTATTACTAAATGTTTCCACTTTACTGGATCACTGCCATCAGCATGAAAGCATGCCATAGAATTTCCAATCTTAAAAAAAATCTTTTTGGACCCACATTTCTGTCCCCAACCTGCCATCCCCCCATTCCTCTTATACTTTATAGCGGAACTCTTCAAAAGATTTATCTAAATCCATTCTCTTCTATTCCTGTCCTATTTTCACTTTAAATCTCTCTAATCAGGCATTTCTTCCACCACTCCACCAAACTATTCTTGTCAAGGTCACCAATATTCTCCCCATTGCAAAGTCTATTGGTCATCCTCAGATCTCTTTTTGTCCTCTCAGCAGTATTTGATCACTCCTTTCTCATTGAATACATTTTGTTCACTTGGCTCCAGGGATAGGGATACCACTCTCTCTCCTACGTCACTGACTTCTCATTCCCAATCTCTTTTGCTGTTTCACTTCATTTTACCTATCTCTATATGTTGTAATGCTGCCAGAGCTCAGAATTATCCTCTTCTTTATTTACTCTTATTCCTTGGGTGCTGTCATCCAGTGCCATGGCTTTAAATAGCATCTATTTGTGGACAACTCCCAAAATTTTATCTCTAATCTTTATCCGTCCTCTGAACTCAAAACTTACATAATATTCAGCAGCCTACTGACATGTCTGCTTAGATATCTTAAAGACATCTCAAACTTATTACATCCAAAACAGAATTTTTGACTCTTTTATTTTACTTTATTTTATTTTTATTATACTTTAAGTTCTAGGGTACATGTGCACAATGTGCAAGTTTGTTACATATGTATACATGTGCCATGTTGGTGTGCTGTACCCATTAACTCATCATTTATATTAGGTATATCTCCTAATGCTATCCCTCCCCCCTCCCCCAACCCCACGACAGGCCTCAGTATGTGATGTTCCCCTTCCTGTGTCCAAGTGTTCCCATTGTGCAATTCCCACCTATGAGAGACAACATGCGGTGTTTAGTTTTCTGTTCTTGCTATAGTTTGCTGACAATGATGGTTTCCAGCTTCATCCATGTCCCTACAAAGGACGTGAACTCATCCTTTTTTATGGCTGCATAGTATTCTATGGTGTATATGTGCCACATTTTCTTAATCCAGTCTGTCACTGATGGACATTTGGGTTGATTCCAAGTCTTTGCTATTGTGAATAGTGCCTCAATGAACATACGTGTGCATGTGTCTTTATAGCAGCATGATTTATAATCCTTTGGGTATATACCCAGTAATGGGATGGCTGGGTCATACGGTGTTTCTAGTTCTAGATCCTTGAGGAATCGCCACACTGTCTTCCACAATGGTTGAACTAATTTACAGTCCCACCAACAGTGTAAAAGTGTTCCTATTTCTCCACATCCTCTCCAGCACCTATTGTTTCTTGATTTTTTAATGATCGCCATTCTAACTGGTGTGAGATGGTATCTCATTGTGGTTTTGATTTGCATTTCTCTGATGACCAGTGATGATAAGTATTTTTTCATGTGTCTGTTGGCTGCATAAATGTCTTCTTTTGAGAAGCATCTGTTCATATCCTTTGCCCACTTTTTGATGGGGTTATTTGTTTGTTTTCTTGTAAATTTGTTTGAGTTCTTTGTAGATTCTGGATATTAGCCCTTTGTCAGATGAGTAGATTGCAAAAATTTTCTGCCATTCTGTAGGTTGCCTGTTCACTTTGATGGTAGTTTCTTTAGCTGTGCAGAAGCTCTTTAGTTTAATTAGATCCCATTTGTCAATTTTGGCTTTTGTCGCCATTGCTTTTGGTGTTTTAGACATGAAGTCTTTGCCCATGCCTGTGTCCTGAATGGTATTGCCTAGGTTTTTTTGTAGAGTTTTTATGGTTTTAGGTCTAACATTTAAGGCAATCCTAAGCCAAAAGAACAAAGCTGGAGGCATCATGCTACCTGACTTCAAACTATACTACAAGGCTACAGTAACCAAAACAACGTGGTACTGGTACCAAAACAGAGATACAGACCAACGGAACAGAACAAAGCCCTCAAAAATAATACCACACGTCTACAACCATCTGATCTTTGATGAACCACACAAAAACAAGAAATAGGGAAAGGATTCCCTATTTAATAAATGGTGCTGGGAAAACTGGCTAGCCATATGTAAAAAACTGAAACTGGATCCCTTCCTTACACCTTATACAAAAATTAATTCAAGATGGATTAAAGCATTTTTGATTTCTACCTGAATCCTCAAGCCTGCTCTTTACACAGTATTACTCATCTCAGGAAATTGCAACTTTATCCTTCCAGTTTATCCTGGTGCATTTGTGCTGCTAAAACCAAATACTCTAGACTGGATAATTTGTACAGAACAGAAATGTACTTATCACAGTTCTGAAGGCTGGCAAATCAAGCTTAAGGAGCCAGTAGCTTCAGTGTCTGGTAAGAAGGGCTGTCTTTACTTCCAAGATGGCATCTTAAATGCTCTCTGGAGAGATGAACGCTGTATAC